ACTACCACATTCAAACTTTTATTTTAGAGAACAGGAAGGCGGAGAAACCATTCCATTGGTAGGTGATCATCGTGTAGCTATATAAAAAGATGATTGACATCCATGAAATTAAAGCTCTTAAGCGTTTAAAATCGCTAAACTTTAAAGATTTAATGCTGTTATTGACTCTCTTGTTTTTTTCCTTTTCTGTTCCAGTCTACTTTCTTAAAACATTATACCCTTCTATATTTTAATTAATGCTAAGTTTAATTTTGGTCCTTTTTTTTAAACGTTGTGTGCTGTATTCAAAATTAAAAGATTTAAAACACATTGGATGCATGCTGGTCCTGAGCCGGTTTAAGGCCATTTCCTATTTTTTCCGCACCCTCTTAAATCAAGCTCAAGGCCCGAGAGGGCTTTAATTTTCGCGCGGCAATAAAAGAAAAGGTCTCCAATGTTTTGCCTAATTCCGGGCAGGTATCAAATTCGTTAAAAAAAGCAAATAATATTTCCCTAACAACTGTTGTTAGCAGAAACTCGTGCAAGCTGTGGAGCCAATAGAACAACCATCGAGCGCAGCAGAGCAAGCTGACAATTTTACTTACGAGATTCCGGGAGGGGAAGATTACATGCCTCTTCGTCCCTCGCGAAGAAGCTGGGAGATCAGTAGGGAACATGTGGAGGTTATTAAAGTGATCGGCAAAGGCGCCTTCTCTGACGTTGCCAAGGCGACGTTGCGGAACATAAGAGACAATCAGGAAATTATCACAGTGGCGGCAAAAATGCTGAAAGGTGAGGTAGTAGTTCTTGATCTAAGTTTATACGATTTGGTAAATTTATACCGAAACAATGGATTACGAATACTCAAACAGTCTCGTTTGTCTCACGTGCATGCTACAGCATTTTGAAAAGTTGCAGCAAGTAACTTTTGAGAGCAAGCGATGAAGGATATCGATAACTATTTTGAATTTATTTTATTTTCCGATATTTTCTGATAAACATGGTTCTATAGTGTGGGCCACGGTAAATATCATTTAATCTAGTTAACTGTGGCGCTTCGTTTTCAAGGAACAATTTCTTTAGTACACATTATGGACTATTTTAGTTTACTTTCCCTGTTTATAGCGAATTCACCGGATTCAGACAGAAAGGATCTTCTTTCAGAACTTGAGTTGATGAAAAAACTGAAACCTCATCCCCACGTGATCAAACTTGTGGCGTGCGTGACCGAGAGTGGTAAGAGAATAAACATTCCTTTAGGAGTACTTTTACGCCGTTTTTCTTCTTGTACAATAATGTAGTTGGGAAGAGAAGAAAAAAATGTAGAAAATGTTTGTGAATGTTGCTTCCAGGAGGCATTCCGGTTGGACTTTATTGAAGGTGGTGGGGTATGAAATTGTGATCGGATATTTTCTTTTTTTGTTTATTACCAGTGTTAGCGGAGCTCTCTCGCGCGCGAAGCGCTCGAAGCGGAACACCGCGTACCATGGGTAAGAAAATTTGGTTATCTATGCTTCGGAGAAATTTTGGTAGTGACTTGTAGTCACGTGACCTACGTCCGTCCGTCAATCCGCAACACAGGCATACCATTGTCAAATAACTCAATCAAACGGTATGGCAACCCAAATGCAACTCGAGGTTTTTTTGGCGGAAAATCGCATGGCCAACCGCGTCTTGCAAAGCAGAGACAATAAAACAGTCGATAAAGACAAGACGGAAAACGGATATTGTTTCTGTATCCGTGTTGTCTAAAGTATTTTGTCACGCCCCAAAATTTACAATATAGAGAAAAAGAAAGACAGACAAAATAGACCACAGGCTAGCGACGCTCAACGAGAAAAAGAGCGACAGAGAGCTAGAGCGAGAGATACAAACAAGAACAAAAACAACAACAACAAACAAAGAAGACGAATTTCCTTGGAAGAACAACATAAAAATTTTTCAGCGGCGATGAGAAAATTAGAAATGCGGTGGTGAAAAAATCAAAAAGGAACAAAAGCAACAAAATTTTTTGAGAGCACATAAGACATAAAACCTGTAACTAGGAAGTGTCAGGTTGCAACATCAATGGGAAAGAAATGAACAGAAACGTTTGCTGCTCGTTCAGTGTTGTTGTTGTTTTCTTTTGCAAATTAGACCTATTGATTTTTTTTTTTGCCGTTTTCGTTACTGTCTCTGTTTGGCATAAAACGATTTAGTTTTTGACTAAATTATAGCGGAGCACCATGGGTAAGAAACCATCCCACCTACCCATCCGTGAAAATTTCGTAATCACGTGACCGCACCCCGACCGCCCGCCCGCCCGAGAGACCGTCCGTCCGCACCACAGGCATACCAATGTAGAATAACTCAATCAACAGGTATGGTAACCCAAATGCAACTGGAGGTTTTTTTGGCAGGAAATCGCATAGCCACCGGCGTCTTGTAAAGCAGAGACAACAAAACAGTCAATAAAGACGAAAACGGAAAGCGGAAATTGTTTCTGTATCTGTGTTGTCTAAAGTGTTAAGCTTAGATAAATTGTCATGTCCACAAATTTGGAATATAGAGCAAGAGAAAGACAGAGAAAAAGAGAGAGTGGGCGGCAGGCCAGCGAAGCTCAAAGAGAAAAAGGGCGAAAGGGATTTAGAACGAGAGATAAAAAACAAAGGAGGCATTTTTTTGTTGGAAGGACAACAGGAAAATTTTGTAGCGGCGGTGACAAAATGAGAAATGCTAGCGACCACCAATACAAGGTGAAAATGAGTGGCAGTGAACGGGAACACGTGCGACATTTCCTCCATAAAACGTGAAGCCAGTAACTAAGAAGTTTCTGGAAGTTTTACGTTGTAGTTGTGCAAAACAAAGGCAAAGAAATGTACAAAAAAAATGTGCTGCACGTGCAAAGTTGCTTTTGCTAATTAGACCTATATTGTTGTTTTTCACCTTTTTCCGGCGTTGCATGCCTTGGCCTTTAGCATTACAATATTTTATATTTTGTTTCCGATTTTGTTTGAACAAACTATGAATATTCTCGAGGGCTTCGCTTTTAGCCCTGGCTAAATCTATATTAAGTATATTTCGAGAGATTCGCTTTTAGCCCTGGCTAAATCTATATAACATTTTAGGGCCATTTATACGAGGAAAAATGAGACGCGTCTTACATAGGACGCGTCTTAAATAAGACGCGAACTTTCCTTATAAACGGCACATTTCGTCTAAAATAAGACGCGACTTAGCTAAGACGCGTCTTATTTTAGAACGGCCCTTAACATCTGTTCTTAGATAAGACGCGTCTTAGCTAAGACGAGAAAAACTTCGTATAAACGACCTTCGTGTCTTAAATAACACGCGAACGCATAGTACGCATGCGTTAATTTTTGGCGCGCCACGTTGGATTGCCGTTGCTACGGGCAACATTCACATGAAAACGCCTCAAGAACAGAAATAAGACGCGAACCATTTATACGAGCTGTTCTCGTCTTAGATAAGACATGCTCGCATAAATGGTACAGTTCGCGTCTTATTTAAGAGTGGCTGTCTGTAAGGATCGAGAATCGGCGGTCAGCGACCCATTTGGCGAATCCCTGATATTTTGCCCAAAGTTAGCCTTGGGTAGACTATTTTCAAAAATGATATTCAAAAGTTCCAACGATTTTGTTTATTTGTGAAAATTGAGAAAAATTAAAAGTGCGGTCAAAATGCGGTCAAAGTGCGGTTTTTTGGTTGATCAAAAGGTGCAATGATGAACTTCCGCCGAAGTCTTAAAATGAACTCAGTTGACCTCAAAATAACAAGAATTTCAAAGCAATCAATCTTCTACACTACCAATGTTTTAATCTTTTCAAATATGATAGTACAATGGTTTTTCAGGCCATTTAGAAAACACCTTCGGAGACCGCTTTCGATGGCGGCAAAATCTAGCTAATATTCATCAGGATAAAAATGTTCCTGGTATGTCAGTTTTTAACAATTAAGCATTGCAGAGCTAAAATATAGGTCTTAAAGATTTACCAAGTAAAGTTTCAAGGTCGAACTCGAAACGCTTCCCTTCGAAGGAATCGGAAGTCTGAGCAATATCAACGTGCAAAATGGCGCTGGATTTATAACAAACATCTAACATTATAGTTACAATCACTTGCGTTAAAATATATCAAACTAAATTTACCTTTGACAATTTTAAGTTTAAGCATTGCAGAGCTAAAATATAGGTCTTAAAGATTTACCAAGTAAAGTTTCAAGGTCTAACTCAGTACGCTTCCTAAGAGACAAGTCAGTTAACTTTGTAATATTATCAGCGCTTGTCAACAAACATTAAAAAACAGGTTTATCGTCCCGTCACTCGATCAGAAGGGCACTTTCCATATCTTCTTTCGTTTGAAATTCACAAGTCGTTTTAGATTAGGTTAAACGCAATAAACACATTTGGCCTCTCAGACCTAAACAGTTTCAAAATAAAGATCGGTTGAAAAGAATTACTAACCCCGCATATCTCAGTACTGCCTGGAATTTTTACTTCAGTTACTTGATCTTCCTAAAGCGCCGTATCCTGTAAATGCAACCTTGTTTCGATGTCTCAAGCGCTCAGGATGCGAGCAGTACAGTACTCCAAATATTTTTAATACTATCAACTCATGACTTTTTGTTGAATTGCACAGAAGTGAAAAGGAGTTAAACAAAGTAATCCGAACCCAAACAAACAAAGACTGCACTAATTCGGCGCTATTGTAAAATTGGCACTGACACTATGAAACGACTGAAACCGAAAACGAAATTTACATTTACCTTATCCTTTTCTCCATTTTGTGTCCACCATTGCAAACTTTCTGTAAAAACACATCAGAGGCTTTAAAGTTCATATTCAGATCCATTTGTGGCGCTTCGAAATGCGTGCATGCTTGGCGCACAGGAAATTTACCAGAAAGTCACGCAACCGTGCGCACGAGCACACCCGTCACTATTGTGCAACAACATTTCGCAACAGGTTGAAAATACAGCGTTGGTCATATATCCTTGTTTAACTCGGTCTCGTCGTTTCTTGAATGGCTCACTGTAGCTACAAAGCGCTTCTAGGTAAGGTCACCCCTTCCCAGGGCACACCTTGCGGTCAGTCCACAGATTATCCTGGTCAGCTGGAATGTATTGCGTTCAAAGACTGTACAAAAGATGTAACTGGCCATTTAAAGGCCTTAAACCTCAGCGCAGATGAGGGTTTAGGATCTGAAATAAAGTTGCTGTTAGCCAGAGCAGGTAAATACCAACCTAAAATATAATATTTTGGTCTTTTTATCAGCTATATTATTATTATACGTTTTACTTTTTATCATCATGCACTTGAGGGTGGTTATTCTCAACACATCATTCTCCTTCTAGGGGTTTTCTCAGTGGAAGAACATCACTATGCCTTGAGCATTTGTCCAAGGCACAGGGCTGATTTCGGCATCCGCTGGAGGACAGGGAAGACCATGTGTACAGTACCCAAAGAATTAGCAGTACATAAAACTACAACTGCTAAAGGGAGCCACCGAGTGGATAGCTTGAAGTCGGCGTTTATTTTCAAAACCACGAACACACTTATTCCAGTTGGATCACGTAAGTTGCAAACTTTTCTGCGAAGATTGGTTAGATAATGGTAATTTTTCAGGGTTAAGAATCACATATAAGGTGGCACACAAGGCGAGGAGTTTGCTAGCACTCTATTAAAGAAACAGTAAGAAATTTCCACGAGACAGTGACCAGAGAGGAGAGAGCGTGCAAGGAGAGGGAAAGGCGCTTTGAAGATGCATTAATTATCACGTGTCGCTTGTTTGTATTACGCAGGGGTCATTTTTGCCTTGGGGGTGCGGGTAATCCTAGCACACCTTGCAGTCCTCATTCAAAATTATTGGTCTTGCGGGCAGGAAGTTCTCTTCTTTCTATGTATGTTTTAAATGTATTTGTTTATACAGTTTATTGACATTAATTTCTGTTCGTCTGTTCATTTTGTTTTGCTTTTGTTTCTCCATTTAAAGCAATTTGTAAACAATGCAACGAGTATATCAGCAAACAGGCCATGCCTAACCAAACTCTAGTGTTTGCTTCAGGTGGGGTGGAGCCCGTCCCCGGGGTCTCGCACCTGCAAGAGTTACCCGAGCCCCATTTGTTGGTAAGTAGTAATAAGAAACACTAGTGTAAATGGTTCGCTTAAGTGGCTCCTTTAACGATGGTATGAAATGTTTTGCTTTCAAAAAAATATCATCATTCATTTTTTCATTTCCTTTTTAATCCTTTTTTACTTTAGGGGATTTCTTTTCACGGGTTTGTGTGGGTGTTGGCTTATGAATAAAATAAAACAAAATAAACGTATAATCATGCTTTATAGTAATTACACAATATATTTGTTTGAACTGTTTCAGGTAGAGGGGGAAACAGGCCTTTCAAGTGCAGAAACAACTTGTAGTGAGTTATCGTCTGATGACCTTGCAACTGAACTGAAGAGGCTGGAGATATCGTCAAGAGGGCGGGATGATGAGACGTTCCTCAGTCCGGATACCGGAAGTCTTGTTTCTTCCACGAGTGACGAGGCCCCAACCACTATGCAAGAACCTCGCAAAAAGTTGAACGAATATCTGGTTTCGAAGAACATCCCGCCAATAACTCAGCCCTGGATGGAATGGGATAAAGCTGGAGAGAGCACTAAGAAGAGATACACCAAAAGGACAGTGGAGATCTTTTCTTCAGTCCTACAAGATCTTACACCTAATTATGCAGGTTCTCTTTGGCAAGCGGTCGTCTCGTCCCCTGCCATGAACAAAGCTCTTAAACTTGATGAATTATCACAAACGTCCAAGAATTATCTTCAGGCCTTAGCAGAGGCATACGGTAAAGCTCAAGGGTGGGAGACAAGAAGGCAGATCTTGTCTATCATGTCAGGCGTTGCCAGCTTCAATGATATTTCAAGATTTATACCAGGCTTAACTAGATATCGCTATAGCTTGGCCAACCTGCATCGCTTACAGTATGGTAGCGGGGCTCCCACAACGCACCACCCTTCGCCGAGGATAAAGGTTGATCTGAAGCAACTTGACCATTTTTTATCGTATATAACAAGTCCGCATTTGGTGCAGGATCTACCATTTGGGCAGAAAACGTTGAAACTCTCTTCTGGCCACCTGGTTGAGATACCAAACGTCATAAGGACGATGATACCCCAAAGAATAGCACGTCAGTACGCTCAGTACTGCCACGAAACTGGCTTTAAACCATTCAGTGAGCGTACTATGCTTCGTGTATTGGAGGAATGCAAGGCCTCGGTCCGAAAATCTCTCCAAGGACTTGACTACGTCGCCGCAGACGGTGCGCGTGATGATGTTTGCACTGCCGATGAGCTTAAAGAAAAATTATTATCGCATGGTGGAATGAAAGGTGTAAGAGTTGTTTCCCTTGATACGATCATCGAAACACCTGACAGTGGGCAAACTATTACTGGCATTACAAAACTGAACAATTTTGAGTTTAGCTCTACAGAGTCTGTTACCTGTTGGCGTGCGTATTGTGTTGGTCGCGGAAAAATCATCAATCCAGGATCTTCATCAAGTAAGTATGGGAATTAAAACTAAAAGTGAGCTACTGAGAATTAATGTATGAGTTGCCGCTAAATTTAAGTTCTGTATTAAAATGCAACTCAAAAGTGTAAGACCCTTACTTTATTGGGGACCCTTACCATACAATAATTATCTGCAAGTACATGTATCAGATACCTTTGGAGTCCCGCGCAATATTCTTGGTTCTGATAAATGAAGAAATGATTATCGCAGTTGTAAGAGCAATTTAAAGAATTACCATTTTGTTCAATTTTTTTGGTGGCTTAAACGGGAAAACCCATAACTTCTACGTACGTTAGCTCGGCAGCGCTCTACTAACCGAGCTATGAATACCCATGTATTGGAAACATACGTTTATTTCTGTCATGTTTGCTTTAAAAACTTATAAATTATTTGAAAAAGAAATCAGAAAACAACTTTTTATTGGTATTAATTTATTTACCCAAGGTCCTCGATACCAAGTACTTCAGAAATCATTCTCCGAAGGAGATTTTACTTCCTTCCGATGTAAATCTGAAAAACAGATTGGACAGACAGCTTCAACATCAGCAACTGTGGCCGAGCCATCTGGTGGCATTTCGGAAGACAGTGACCTGTCCACAGGGGTTTATTCCTGTCCTCAAGACGGCTGCGTTCGTGTGTTCCAAAGAGTGTCTGCTTTAGAGAAACATCTGTCTGTAGAAAAATGTTCCCGATCCCCGGAGAAATATTCTCTAATGGATTTAGCGAAAATGGGATACAAGACCCATTTGGAAGAAGGTGTTGGCATATTGCCCTCTCTTAAAGCCCCAGTTGCTCACCAGGAGGGTCACTTTGTACCAAATGAGGGATGGGCCCTCAGAGCAGCAAAGAAGGCGTATAGATTCAGCGAAAAGCAAAAGTCTTACTTACTGGCGAAATTCTCTATCGGTCAAACAACGGGCCGTAAGCTTGACGCCGAGGTTGTGGCGAGGGAAATGAGACGCGCCCGTGGAGCAGATGGTGTGCGACTTTTCCAGTTCTCAGAATTCCTAACCAGCTTGCAGATTGCGTCCTTCTTCTCAAGGCAAAGCGCTACACTACGGCAAAAGGACCCAGCAGATGAAGCCGATATCCGGGCATCTCAAGAGGAAGCTAACTTTAGTGCAGCGAAGGAGGTCGTTGAAACCATTCAGCTCAACCATCCTCTGGTATACGATCAGTACAACCTGTGTGAGATGGCGCTCAGTGGTAACTTGAAAGTCCTCAAGCTACCGATGCTTCAGCGCTTGTGCGAGGATCTCGGCCTTGATGCACCTGTCCCGCCTGTGCGCAAGAAGGCTCTATACTTGGCACTCTTAGAGGAAATAGCCAAAAAGTGCACATGCCGAAAGTAACTCTTTTATTAATAGCTTCCTGGAAGTGTTTTAGCCACAACCAGTTTTATAAAACGGGTTGTTGAAAACGGGGAGAAGGGGTACTCCCTCAAAAAATTGCCAAGGTTCTACTTGTACCTCGTTCCCAGGTTCTCCCTCTTAGGTTGGTGCCTTTTAGAGGATGAAATCTGTGGAGTGGTATCGCCTAGGGTTCGAGCGCAGCTGTAGCAGTACCTTTTAGGTTTTTTTTAACTATGAAGATGAAGAGAACTGTTTTGGGGTTGAACTAAAGCCACTTACGTAATGAGAATATTGCGATCAGAGCAGCCTTCACAGGAAGTGGGACTACCCTCTGCTCCTCAAGTCTGCGAGTCAATGACAAAACAAAACAAAACCAAAAAAACAATATCAAAGAAAGCTCCCCTACCGGGATGAAGTAATGAAATTCATTTTATAACTGCGTTTAGCAAGACCTAAAACAAAGATCTTACTTTGAAAAATACTCTGCGAAAAATTTTTACTTCTAAACGTACTCCTTCCCCACCCCCATCGTGACAACAGGTCAAAACGTTTATCCCGCGGGTGGGAAGTTATTGTTGTTCTTGTTTTTTTTAAATATTATTATTCCTACCGGAGCCTCAAAATAATACTTCGTTTTAGAAAAATACTAATTTGAGCAAAATTAACTCGTTTAAGTTTTAAGACCACGCTGGGTGGAAGGGAGAGGGTAACTGAGATTGCGTTACATTTACTGGACTCGAATATCAACACACGGTTTATGACACAATGCCGTTTGTTTCGATTTCTTTACACATGTAGCCTCACGTGTTTCAGATACTAAAAACAAAAACTGTTTGAAATTTTGAAAACTAACGTCGATTCAAACTCTCCCTGTAGTGGAAAATGGCTTTCAGCAACGTTGTATGATTAAATACCGCCAAAAGCTATAATGTGGCACTTTGCCGGTTATTATTATTGTCGCGGTAATAACTAATTATTTCCAAAATTTCAACGGTCTTTCCAGCAAACTACCTTCGTTTTTTTTAAGTCACACAATTACTATTTCATTCAAGAAACCTTGGCGAACGATAAATATCTAGCAAAACGTCCTGGATGCATGGATAGTTTGGCACAAAGGCGGCTGGTTTAACTGATTTATCAGGTTTGTTTACATTACCTTGCGATAACCAAAGTGGACTATCTACATCAAACTGATCTGTTCAAAGCACTGGATGTGTCTCCTATGAGCTCTTGGATATTCCTATAAGCGGCAAACTTAAAATTGTCAAAGGAAAATTTAGTTTGATATTTTAACGCAAGTGATTGTAACTATAATGTTAGATGTTTGTTATAAATCCAGCGCCATTTTTGCACGTTAACATTGCTCAGAGTTTCGATTCCTTGGAAGGGAAGCGTTCCGAGTTCGACCTTGAAACTTTACTTGGTAAATCTTTAAGACCTATATTTTAGCTCTGCAATGCTTAATTGTTAAAAACTGACATACTAGGAACATTTTTATCCTGATGAATATTAGCTACATTTTGCCGCCATCGAAAGCGGTCTCCGAAGATGTTTTCTAAATGGCCTGAAAAACCATTGTACTATCATGTTTGAAAAGATTAAAACATTGGTAGTGTAGAAGATTGATTGCTTTGAAATTCTTGTTATTTTGAGGTCAACTGATTTTATTTTAAGACTTCGGCGGAGGTTCATCATCGCACCTTCTGATCAACCAAAAAACCGCACTTTGACCGCAATTTGACCGCACTTTTAATTTTTCCCAAATTTCCCAAGTAAACAAAATCGTTGGAACTTTTGAATATGATTTTTGAAAATAGTCTACCCAAGGCTAACTTTGGGCAAAATATCAGGGATTCGCCAAATGGGTCGCTGACCGCCGATTCTCGATCCTTACAGACAGCCACTCTTAAGACGCGTCTTATGTAAGACGCTTCTAATTTTTCCTCGTATAAATGGCCCTAATTTTCCGTAACAGATAGTTTTTTTTTTCTATCAGCCTCAAAATTTTACTTTTTCCTTCACAACATAAATATATCCACCCCCATTTTTCTCCATTAAAAATATTCTAAACTTATTTAAAAAAAATTCTTTAACCTTATTTGTGCCGGGGACTACAACCTAACCGAAGCTTAAATTCTAGTCGAGATTTTAAAGAGAAACTGTAAAAATAGATGCAATTCAAGACATTTCACTGTAATTTCACCTTAAACAATTAACTCATTTTGCAGATGACTGTACGTAGCCTTATGAATAGTACATTATCCTTCCGGTTTGCTTCATCAGCACGAACATGAAGGTATGGGATAACCACCCCAGACTCTCTTTAGCTAAGTTAGACTAACCCTACGGGATCCTCATCCTCCTAACATAACCACCCCAATCCTTAACTTAAATCCGCTTCCATTGCTTTCCAAGCCTAACCATGTTGCAAAAGGAATAAAAGAGACACATATGGTCACCCAATACTATGATTTAATACGAAAAAAAGCAGTACACAATAAAGAAGGCTTGGGTAAAACCCAGGTCCGTTCCATAAAGTCCGATGAAATCCCAGCTAGAGTGTCGCTTACACCAAATGGATGCAGAACCGGATTTAACTTTATATAATGGTGAGCTGAGGAGGAAGTCTTCCAACCGATATGATCCATGATCGCTCTTAAGTCAGCCCCAGTCACAGCCAATGAAATCGCGCATCCTCTTCTCAAGCCATGCAGGACGTTATGCAAAGTGATCCGACGGTTCGTAAAGATATGCGATAGTTACTGAGTATAAGACGCAAGTCTAGCCTGTGCTGCACTTGAATCAAAAGAAGTTGGCAGAATTTCACCCGGTGGATCAACAGGAAAAAATAAGTGTTAACCTTACCTAACCGGGGCCCCGATCAAAGCACAAATTCGAATGTACGTTTCAATAACAGCAACGGGGCACAATTAAGCTTCCCTGTAAGGCCTAATTGCAAATAGATTCGAAGCACCATCGTCGGCGGAGAGATTTCGTTAGGATGTGATTGAATGGGAGACCTTCCTTTAAGGGAAATATAACAACTGCTTTGTCTTTACTCTTCCAAGGTCACCCACTCTATTGCCCCAAACAAGAGTGTCTTTAAAAACACCTGGCCCCGGTTGTTCAAACGTCGGATAGCGCTATCTACCGGATAAATCACTATCCAGCGGATAAGTATTACGGAAATCAATTACGCTATCCGCTGGATAGTGATTTATCCGGTGGATAGCGATATCCGACGTTTGAACAACCGGAGCCTGATCTCTTGCAAGAATAAAAAGCTGAGTAGGGGAGGAAATTCGTCCAGATAGACGCTTCAAGATTTCAGAAGAGGTTGCGGCCAGGTCTTGAATTAAAAATGGTTCAACCTGAATCGGAACAGTTCTAGCTAGAAGCTGTTCTTCCTTAACTGCTGTCAAGTAGAATTTAACCGTTAAAGAAGCTGCGGGATTCCCGTACCCAGGAATTACAGAATCCCCCACTGGCGGTCAAAATATTCCCCTGCTTAAAACATTCATAACCAATTTACTGACTTTACACACATCTCAACTGTGGAAATTCACAAACCAAATTGCTGGCTTGTCCAAGTACCCACAATTTAACCTCATACACAAAGCACTTCACTGGCTTGTCGAATACTCCGTGGTTGAAAGTTTGTTGGCTTCACCAATACACCATTTTACAGTTGTTGACTTAGTACCCTAGCCTTCAAGTGAATGTGAGGCTGACGGTGACCTTGTTTTGATACAAACCTTCTTTGCTTTGTTATGGAAATTGTCCTTGAAAAATAATACTAGTTACCATAAGAATAACTAATGATCTACATTATAAAGCAAAACGACGTCAACTTCAGACTCGCTTCCATACACAACTGTAAAATGGCCTATTCACGTGTATCAGGGATTTTTTTTTTCAATTAAAACTACAGATGTAGAAAATTGTAGTAATTCACAAACCACTTCGCTGGCTTGCACACGTAACCTAGCCGTATTAACTAACAAACCAATCCGCTGGCTTCTCGATAATACTCTTCGGCCCAAATTTTTCATTAACCACTTCACTGGCTTATCAAAATATTCCGTAGTTAAAGATTGTTAGCTATTGTTTGCTTCACCGGTTTGTACACGTAACGAAAATTACATTTGTTCACAAACCACTCCTCTCGCCTGTACCCGTAATGTAGCCTTAGAATTTAACAAACCACCTCGCCGGTTCGTCGAAATACTCCGCGACCCAAATCTTTCACAAACCACTTCGTTGGATTGAAAAAAAAAAACAAAAACATTTCGTCACAAGTAAGAAATATCCTGGACTACTTCAGATAGACTCACATACACAAAAATAAGCTTAGAAATTGGAAGAAAAAACAAAATATCCTACGCAAGGATAAATAACCCCGGAACAAAATCAATGAAAGAAATACCTCTAGGATATCTGAAACGGCTGAACTCTCAGATTGTCTAGATTGTAAGCTCTAAGAAGCACCAGCCACAGAATTGTTCACACGACCCGAAGCTGTTGGCGTTGGTTGTTGACTGGCAGCTTGCAACACCTGTTGCCGCGTTTCTGCAGGATCCGTTCAAATGTCCGTTCAAATGGTAAGCGCCCTAGGTCTAATTAGCCAAAAAGCAACTTTGAACGTGCAGCACACTTCTTTTGTACATTTCTTTGCCGCGTTGTTTTGACTTCTGACGTGAAACCTCCAGAAACTTCATAAATACCCGTTTTATGGAGGAAATGTCGTGCGTGTTCTCGTTAGCATTTTTTTTTTCACTGCCGCTGATTTTCACCTTGCATTGGTGGCCGTAAGCTGCTACGAAATTTTCATCTTCGTCGCCCAGTATCCTCCTCTTTTATAAAGTGGTGAATAATATCGTCTATCTACATCACAACATTATGAGCGAATCCATGCAAAAATCGACCAAAATCGACGATTCGTGGCAAGGCTCAAAAAATCAAAATCGCTCTTCTTTTGCAGACTGGTAGACTTTAGTAAG